ATGCGGGAGCCACTTTTTTGTACAGGGGTAAGTTGGGGTTTTCAGGGAGTCCTGTTTGGTGCCTCCTTCCGTATTTTCTTTCCTCAATCTATGCAAGCGGCTCTGGCCGCCATCATCTCCTCAGATGCCAGAGGGCTGTCACCCTAGCTCTTGAGTCCAAGGTGGTGGAGCCTCCTCCGAGGGGACTCCAGTTCTCTGGCACGGCCTGAGGTACACGGGTGTGTGCTCCACACGGTGGAGGGCAGGGGGTGTGAGGGGGGAGGTGGGGAGGACTGTTGTTGCCCTTTGGAGCTTGGTAGGAGGGTGGACCCCAGGGCTTGGCAAGTGCCACTTCTGGCAGGTTGGAAATTTCCAAATAAATCTTTGTTTATTGGTGGTACCTGGACCTGGTCATTGAATAGTATGGCCACTCGTTAACAGACTGAAGTCCTTAAGGCTTGTCCGGCAGAGCTTTATTTGAGGGATCCACACAAAAGACAAGCACCTTACTTCCATAGCTTCTTGATAGACATATTTTTCTCACTATCCTTCTGCATGACCTGGAGAGAGAAAGCATGAAGTTACAAACAGAATGAACACACCCTCTGTCCCCCCTGCTCGAGATGCCGTCAGCAAAGCAGAAAGATGGAGGCCTCTACCTTGGCTACAGCCATCTCAAAGTCCTCCTGGGTGACGTGGACTCGCCGCTCCCGCAGGGCATACATGCCGGCTTCGGTGCACACACCCTGAGCAGAGAAAGGAAGTCAGGCACTGTGCTGTGCCCTTGACCCCACAGCTTTCCACCTCTGCCCCCTTTTCCTTGGGCTCCCTGATTACCTTCACTTCAGCCCCTGAGGCTCCAGGCATGAGCTCAGCAATTTTCCGCAGGTTGATACCCCGGGTCAGGTTCATTTTCCGAGAATGAATCTTTAAAATGTCCAGCCGGGCCTAGAAAGGAAAGGAGAAGCCTGAGCCCTGTGGCCTACTCCCACAGCCAGAGCCATTCCCTGTTCTGCCCCTCACAAACCTCCTCGTTGGGGGGTGGGAATTCAATTTTTCTGTCGATGCGCCCAGGGCGAAGCAGCGCTGAATCCAGGATGTCAATCCTATTAGTAGCCATGATAACCTGAATGGAAAAGGCGGGTGGTGGCTCCGGCCAAACCCTGCCTTGGGCTGTACCTCACCCAGGGTCTTCCCTTAGATGCCACCTTACCTTGATATTCTTGGTGGCCTCAAAGCCATCCAACTGGTTGAGCAACTCCAGCATTGTCCGCTGTACCTCACTATCCCCTCCAGAACCCCCTTCCAGCCGTGAGGAGCCAATGGAATCAATTTCATCCATGAAGATGATCGATGGAGCGTGTTCTCGTGCCATGACAAATAGTTCCCTCACCATTCTTGCCCCTGTGCAGAGGCCAAGCTGGCGTTACGAAGGCAATGAGCTCCCTACCTCACCTCCACCCCCGTCACTTCTTGGTTTTATTGTTTCTAGCCATAGTTACCTTCCCCAATGAATTTCTGTACCAACTCGGAACCAGAGACCCGAATAAAGGTACAGTCTGTATGATGAGCCACCGCCCGGGCCAACAGTGTCTTCCCAGTGCCGGGGGGTCCATACAGCAGCACCCCCTAGAGAGAAACAGCAGAACTCAGGGCAGAAGCCATCCCCACATTACACTCCGTGAACATTTACTGGGTGTTCACCCTGGGCTAGATCCCGTGCTAGATGCCAGGGGTATAAATCATGAATGTCAAGGTCCTTTCTAGTGCTACTTTCTGAACTACCTCAGTACCCTGGCTGCATTCTCCAGCCCCTCTTCCATGGGGAGGGCCAGCATTAAGTGGGGGTCCAGACACCTCCCGAGCCCTGTACTCACTTTGGCAAGGGCAGGACGTGCCAGTAACAGCATGACCCTTCCACAGAAATCTTGCTTCTCACCTTGGGCTGTGCAATGCCCAGTGCTTCAAATAGCTCAGGATGCTTGACAGGCAGCTCAATTACTTCTTTGATCTCCTTTATCTGCTTGTCTAATCCACCGATCATCTCATAGGTTGAATCTGGCACCTTCTCCACCATCATCAGTGACACCAGTGGGTCTACCTTGTTGGGCAAGATCTTGTGCAGAGTGTAGCTGTCATTTCTTAGAGCCACCCGGCAATTGGGTGTCACCTGGGTAAGGGGAGAGTTTTAGGAGGTAGTGTGCTAAGAGCTGAGCCCAACCTCCCACCTCACCTGCAGCACTCACATCATTGATGTCGATGTTCTTGTCCACATCTACGACAAACTTGCCTTCAGGATGCACCTATAGAAACAAGGGTTCGTGACCTTTCCTGACAACCAACAAACTACCCACCTCGCCCAGGAAGACCCAGGAGTCCTAAAATAATAGAAGAGTGTCTTGGCAATGCTACACACAGAGGTGTGGGAATGCGTTGGGCTTTGGGCTGCTCCCTGGGGGTCAATCATGCTTTTACCTTAACCAACACTTTTTTCTTATCCATGGCCCGGACTACTTCCCCCACATAAGAGCCCTGTTCCTGCAGCAGCTGTAGTTCTTCCCGCAATAGGCGAACTGGATGGGAAACAGACATAGGGGTCACCCAGCTTCTTCAGTGTCTTCTCTCACAACTCCATTTGACAGGCATGAATTAAGCACCAATTTGAAGTTTTAGAAGACCACAAAAATAAAGTCAGAATTTAATTTCTAAAGGGGTTACAATGGGGAGAAGCATGCATATGAACAACTACATAACAGTGTAAAGTGTAACCTTGGACTATACGAGAAACAATAAGCACCAAACGTGAAGTCTCAAGTCTCAATTTAGGCAGGTTCAGACAGACCTTGGACAGACTGGCCAAATGCAGCCTTCCCACCTTTCCCTCCTCACCTTTTGCATTAAGCTCATTCCTCTGTGCCTGCAGCCTCCGGAGATTTTGGCTCTTATCATTTACAATCAACTACGGAGGACAAGAAACAGCAGAAAACAACAGGAGGTTATGGTCTTGGCCAAGATCCTCACAGGCTGGTACGAGCTAAGTGACAGAAGAGCACAGGGCCACCTGCACGTTCCAGACTGTCCGATATGATCTTAAAGACTATCCTTTCCTCCAGGAGTCCCTCTGGGGCCTAGAGCGGCCATGAAAAAAGACTAGTTGCCCTAATACTGGACCAGGAATAGCAAGTCCTGATAAAAGTCACAGCTGCCTCACATAGTCAACTCCTTGCAAGACAATAACATGGTAGAGCGGGAACATCACTGAGTCCAAAGCCTAAGTTCTAAGCCCACCGCTGCCAACTAACAGGTAGCTAAAGCTAAGGGAAACCTTTTAAAAGGTCACGATGTTACCGAACTGGAAGTAGATCTAGCGTCCCCTACCCTGCCTCTTCTCAGGACTATTGTGAAGAACAAAGAAAATCCCATGTAAAGGCACTTCAAAAATCATAGACCGAATATGAAAGCTGCAAATACGCCAGGAGTTCAGAAACCGTCCTTGTGACTTTCTTTCATCCAGTGTGTATATTTCCCTTATTGCTACGGTCCCTGCCCCCTCTTCAGGCTAGGGCACTGGGTGGCCCAACTCCTTTTATTCGGTCCCATGGGATCCGCATTATCCCAACAGGGAGGTTCGGTCTCCCTTCTCACTCTCACCCTGCCCCAGCCCGTGTGCTACGTCTCATCCCAGCTTCCGCGTTACCTTTTATAAGAAACGCTCAATTCAAACTTCTCCTAAAAGGAATAGTATTTGGCAAAGAGTACCTCTTACGTCAAAATCTGACAGCCAACGATGTGTAAAAAACCGTGTATACTGATTACCTTCAAAGGGTGAGAAGTGAGAGAAACAAGAAACTTAACTTCATATACTCCTATCCTTGACCAGTTACTTCTTCCACTGCGCCCCCAGTGGACTAGTGGGTTTATATAAACATACTCCAGTCCTTCATCCCCTCCTAGCTGCCTCTGTGGTCCATCCTCACCTGGAGTTCTTCGATCTTGGACAGATAATATTGGCGGAGTCCGCTGCCTGCCTTCCCCTCTTCCAGCTCCATCTGAAGACACAGGGTAATTATTAGACAGCCCCCCAACCCCCAAAATGCAAGGGAAAAAAGCCTGGACTTTGGAGGAATGGGATTTGGGTTGAATCCCTCAGTCATCTCTTTAGAACCCTCCACTTCCCCGCGAGTAAACTCAAAGCAGGAGGAGAATGCCGCCTACCTCGTAAGACTTTCAGGAGCATCAAGGGACAACATGCACGAGAGCGCTTTGTACCGAGCCAAGCGCTATACAAACCCAGGTGTCACCACTACAGGCGGAGCCACCAGGAGGAACGGGGCCCTGCCTCGCACGACTCGCGGACAGGCCGGCTCCGCTCCCGTCTTCCCCTCATTCGCTCCGCTTCCCCCGGGGCTTTCTCTCCCGGCCCTGCTCTGACCCGCCGCGGGCGGCGCTGACACAGCAGATCCGGTCCCGCGCAGGGCCCAGTCTGGACTGGTCCACCCCCCCAACCCACCCGACCCTTTTGCCTCGGCCGACTGCCCACCTCGGATCGCGCCTGCTTCGCATCGAGGCCCCGTCCCACCCGGCCACCGCAGCCGCCGTACCTGCTCCGGCCCATCAAGCGCCATCTTCTCTCACCCACGGTAGCCGCCGGCATCCGAGCCACCTTGGCGCGCAGGCGCAAAAATAGGGGCTTGGGGCCCCGCGACCCTGACAGAGAAGAATTCCGGGTCAATGGGCGGGGTGTGCGTCGAGACGACTACAAAAACAGAGGCCATGATGAGAAGGTGGCTACGCGAGGTCAGGAGCTTCGAAAGGGTTGAAGAGGCCACGGAACTCCTAAACGTTGCTCTCTAGGAACTCAGTTTTGGATCAGGTAATCCGCTCACCTGGTCCCAGCTTCCAACTTGCAATACTTAAGGACATAAAGAAAACTTTACGGCCACGCTCAAAATGGCGGAAACTTGGAGCCGGAGACGCAAGAGACGCAAGCGGAAACGGAAGTACGTGTGCTGCCCCCCACGTGCCTCTCTTAGAGTGGTGAAAAAGGCAGCGATTCCCCGTGCTTGCAGAGACAAGTGGGGGACGGAAAGCGGCGTTTCAATTTTTCTGTCCCCAGGTTAAGTGACAGTTCTCCCTTTCCACTATGGGCAAGAAGGGCAAAGTCGGGAAGAGCCGGCGGGACAAGTTCTATCACTTGGCGAAGGAGACCGGTGAGTCAGGGTCCGCGCTGTCTGCGAGCTAAGGAGTGACGTTTTCGATTCTCTTCCACCTTTCCGAATACTGAGTTCCCGTTCTGTAGACAGGGTGGTGGGTTGTGAAGTCGCAGAAATCTCCCTGGGAAAGCCCCCCGCCGAGTTTAACATTTTGTCGGTGCCCCCAGGTTACCGCTCCCGCTCTGCTTTCAAGCTGATCCAGTTGAATCGCCGTTTTCAGTTCCTGCAGAAAGCACGAGCCTTGCTGGACCTGTGTGCTGCGCCCGGGGGATGGTGGGTACACCCGGCACCTGCGGCTCTTTGTGGCTGCGTTGTGGGTCCCGGCCGTGGAGGACTTGGAGTGGCACTGGGGGCGGGAGGGATACGGCAATACCAGTCTCATGCTTTTCCCTAGACGTAGGTCGGGGCACTGCACTTGGTAGCGCCTCTTAAGGCACGCGGTGAGAGAGCCTATTGCCAAGGGAGGGGGAGGAACGGTCTTGAGTTATTGTAATCCGCATTACTCTTTTCTAGGCTGCAGGTGGCTGCTAAGTTTATGCCTGTATCCAGCCTTATTGTGGGTGAGTAACGGGTGGGCCCGCTAAGTGGTAAAGGGGTGGGAGAATGAGATACTAATTGTGTTCTGCATTTCCTTTCTCCTTGCTTAGGGCATCCCTTTGTAACTTTCTGACCTGATTTCTTGCAGGAGTGGATCTGGTTCCAATCAAGCCTCTTCCCAATGTGGTGACACTCCAGGAGGACATCACAACAGAACGCTGTAGGCAGGTAACAGGAATCGCTCTTTTTGTGCGTCCTTTCTTTGGAGACACCCAAGTTTGTCTGCCTCGCCATCCCAAGTTCTCTAAAGGCAAGCCTTTTCTGTTTAACACACCGTAAGCAGTGCCTGTAGGATCTATATGACAAGGCTTATGATACAGCTTAGTCTTCAGTCCAGGCTTTTGTAAGTCAGGGGTGAGGTGTTTGGAAGAAGAGCAGTGATGTTGTTGAAATCTTTTCTTCGGGCTTGCAAGTAGACTGTAAGCTCTGTGAAGATAGATGTAATTTTGTTGTTGTTGCTTAATCATTATGTACCTGGCACAGGATTTGGCCAAGTGCAGGCTATTCAGTAAATGATTGGGTGGACAAATGGCTGAATGAGGAATTGCATTCATAGCCATTTTTGTATTTCTGTTGGTATAATTTTTTTTTTTTTTTGTCTGAAGGCCCTGAGAAAGGAACTGAAGACCTGGAAAGTTGATGTTGTGCTCAACGATGGGGCCCCCAATGTTGGGGCTAGCTGGGTCCATGATGCTTACTCACAAGGTGCTGGGAGTCGGGGGACATGGAGGTGAGGGTGGAGGTAGGCATGCTCTCTCAGGCTGCAGAGGTCCTCAGCTAATTGTTTCTCTCCCACAGCCCATTTGACACTGATGGCTCTACGTTTGGCTTGTGATTTTCTGGCCCGTGGTGGCTGCTTCATCACAAAGGTTTTTCGTTCCCGTGACTATCAGCCCCTACTGTGGATCTTCCAGCAGCTCTTTCACCGTGTCCAGGCCACTAAGCCCCAAGCCTCTCGCCATGAATCTGCGGAGATCTTTGTAGTTTGCCAGGGTGGGCATCATTTTTTTGTTTCTTAGCAGCTTTTACCAAAGTATACTTTCTTACATATCCTATCGCTTTAGGATTCCTGGCTCCTGACAAGATTGACAGTAAGTTCTTTGATCCCAAATTTGCCTTCAAGGAGATTGAAGTTCAGGCCAAGACTGTTACTGAATTGGTGACTAAGAAAAAGCCAAAGGTGGGTTTGGGGAATGGGGCCACTCTCCAGTCCTGGAGTCGGGGGGAGGTTGGGTCTGGTGGGTCCTATAGACATTTTAGAAAGGAATTTTCAACCTTCATTCTTTCTCTCTGTAAGGCTGAAGGCTATGCTGAGGGTGATCTCACGCTCTATCACCGTGCTTCAGTCACTGACTTCCTCCGAGCTGCCAACCCTGTTGATTTCCTCTCCAAAGCCAGCGAAGTGAGTCATCAGATCTGAGGGGTATAGGGAAGCGCCAGAAACATGTCCACAAAAATCTCCCTGACTTGTTTCCTTCCTCCCAAACAGATCTCCCTGGATGATGAAGAGTTGGCACAGCATCCAGCTACCACTGAGGATATCCGGGCATGCTGTCAGGATATCAAAGTGCTAGGGCGCAAGGAGCTTAGGTATGCAGTTGGGATGGACACAGAGCTAGGAGCCCCGAGGGCAGGGAAAGGCCTTTGAAGATGCACAGCTTTATTTTTTCTTGAGGGGACAATTTGAGGAATTAATATAGTGTTGGATCTTGGGACACACATGCTACTGTGCTAGAGATTTGAGGTGGGGGCCTAAAAAGGGGACAAGGACAAAGAAGGAAATGGTAAGATTAGTCATTATATTTCTGGGACAGGTCCCTACTGAACTGGAGAACAAAGCTCCGGCGATATGTGGCCAAGAAGCTGAAAGAGCAAGCAAAGGCACTGGACATCAGGTAAGGAAGGAATGGAACTAGGATAGGTGGGGGCTGAGGGACTGTGTGAGGAAATAACCAAGGTGCTTGCTCTGTTTTGTCAGCCTCAGTTCAGGAGAGGAAGAGGAGGAGGAGGGTGAAGAGTCTGAGGCCGGTACTGGGAGGCAGCCCTCTAAAGAGGAGGAGGAGGAGGAACAATTAAATCGGACCCTGGCAGAGATGAAGGCCCAGGAGGTAGCAGAATTAAAGAGGTGAGAGGAGTGGGGAGGAGCTTGGGGAACCTCACCGCAGAGGCCCTTGCTGTATGAATACGGGGAAGAGGGGGAAGGCATGGATGGGGAATCTTTAGAGCTGGGCCCGGTTGAATCCCTCACATTGTCCAGTTGAATCCCTCACATTGTCCACGCAGGAAGAAAAAGAAGCTGCTGCGTGAGCAGAGGAAACAGCGGGAACGTGTGGAGCTGAAGATGGATCTTCCTGGGGTGTCTATAGCAGATGAGGGGGAGACCGGCATGTTCTCCCTGCGTACCATCCGGGGTCACCAGGTGAGGGGATTAGGGCAGATGGAGACAGGACCACCTGCTTGGAGATTTGGACATGGCAGGCATTGCGTTGGATGGCGCTGAAGCGCACTGAATGGATCTGGCTCACGGTTGCTGTGTTCGCGCATAAGAGGAGAGGTGACTCCTTGAGAGGAGAGTGGACTTTGTGCCTGAGAGGCCAGGACGATTAGCGTGCTTTGAGTTTTTGTTGTAGAACCTAGAATAGTAGAACCAAGGAGCACTCTGCAAGAAGCTGATGTTCTAGTAGATGTAGCCAGAGGGGCCGGGATGCCGGGATGTGTGATGCAGGGTTTCCTTTAGAGTGATCTTCAGGTCACAGAGACCAAGGTAGCACCAGGCTGCCATAGGCTGCTTTTCTTGATTAAAGCAGCATTAACAAGGAAAATGAATTTTTGTGGCTTCTGTGGGAATGGAAGACCAGGTCCTTTTTGTTAGAAGTATAGGAGAGAGAGCACAGTGGTTCTACAGAAGACTACCACTTAATGTTTTGCCTTAATTTTTTCTTTTTTTAGATTTTATTTATTCATCAAAGACACACAGGCAGAGATGTAGGACATAGGGAGAAGCAGGCTCCTCACAGGGAGCCTGATGCAGGACTTGATCCCGGGACCCCCGATCATGACTTTCGCCAAAGGCAGATGCTCAAAACACTTGAGACACCCACGTGCCCCTTGACTTAGTTTTTTTCTCTGTAAAAAAAAAAAAAAGATAGAACCTACCTACTAGGGATCCCTGGGTGGCTCAGTGGTTGAGCATCTGCCTTCGGCCCAGGGCGTGATCCTGGAGTCCCAGGATCAAGTCCCACATCGGGCTCCCTGCATGGAGCCTGCTTCTCCTTCTGCCTATGTTTCTGCCTCTCTCATGAATAAATAAAATCTTAAAACAAAAACAAAAAACCCTATCTACTAGGGCTTTTGTAGGAATGAAAAAAGAAAAGAGGGTATAGGTGTAATCCCTGGTAATGTAGTGAATTCTCAAGAACTAATTGCTAGCTTTGCCATTAAAAAAATAAATATTAGGGCAGCCCGGGTGGCTCAGTTGTTTAGCACCATCTTCAGCCCCTGATCCTGGAGACGTCGGGCTCCCTACATGGAGCCTGCCTCTCTCTCTCTCCGTCTCTCATGAATAAATAAATAAATAATCTTAAAAAAAAAACTTAGGGGGAGTGCTTGGATGGCATAATCAGTTAAGTGCCTTTGGCTCAGGTCATGATCCTCGGGGTCCTGGGATTGAGCCCCACATCTGGATCCCTGCTCAGCAGGGAGTCTATTACTCCCTCTGCTCCCTTCTCTGCTTGTGTTTTCTCTTTCAAATAAATTTTTTTAAAGATTTTATTTATTCATGAGACAAACAGGCAGAGGGAGAAGCAGGCTCCCTTTGGAGAGCCTGATGTGGGATTTGATCCCAGGACCGCAGGACCACAACCTGAGCCAAAAGCAGATGCTCAGCCACTGAGCTATCCAGGTGCCCCAAATAAATAGAATCTTAATAAAGGTTGACAGTTTTTAAGTGAAATAATTATTGTTAGATGTGTGTTGCCTGGGTTCCTTTATTCAGTGGAAACAAAATTTGTAGATTATTCTCAGAAGGTGACTTTTTTTTTTTTTGGTGATGTGCTTGTTGAATTTTTTTTTTTTTTAAGATCTTATTTATTTATTCACGAGAGACACACACAGAGGCAGGCTCCATTAAGGGAGCCCGACTTGGAACCAAAGGCGGCGCTAAACTGCTGAGCTACCCAGGCTGTCCTAATTTTTTTTTTTTTTTTTTTTTTAAGAAAAGTGTGTCTATTAGAGTATTTAAAAAGTGATGGTATATAGGCCTTGGGTGCTTTTCTGTAAACCTATTTCTGCTACCATTGAAGAGACAGCCAAGTGGGATAGATAGATTAGACCTGGGCTAAGAATGAGATGTGTTGCCTTTTTTTCCCCTCCCCCAAAGATTTATTATTTTGGGGCATCTGACTGTTAAATGTCTGCCTTCAGCTCAGGTCATGATCCCAGAGTTCTGGGATTTAGCCTCACATCAGGCTTCCTGTTTGGCAGGGCAGTCTCCCCCCCACCCCCTCATTTTCTTTCTCTCTCAAATAAAAATCTTTTAAAAGATCTATTATTTTAGAAAGCCAGAGCACTTACGCCCTTGGGCGGAGGGAGAAAATCTTCAAGCGGACTCCCTTCTGAACATGGAGCCCAATCTTACCCCCTGGGATCAGGACTTGAGTCAAAACCAAGCCAACTGAGCCACCCACCCCAGTGCCCCTAGAATGGGATGTTTTAAACACTTAGCTGGGGATCCCTGGGTGGCTCAGCGGTTTAGCGCCTGCCTTTGGCCCAGGACACGATCCTGGAGTCCCAGGATCAAGTCCTGCGTCAGGCTTCCGGCATGGAGCCTGCTTCTCCCTCCTCCTGTGTCTCTGCCTCTCTATCATGAACAAATTAAAAAAACAAAAACAAAAAAAACACTTAGCCCCTTCACTTCCTGTATTTGCCAATGTATTTTCAAGTGTTGCTAAGATAACAGAGGAGAAAAGCAGCATGTTCCTCATAAGTACCCTAGATCTCTTTCTTTGTCAAACTCTAGTTGTTAGAGGAGGTAACGCAAGGGGATATGAGTGCTGCAGACACATTTTTGTCGGATCTGCCAAGAGATGACATCTATGTATCCGATGTTGAAGATGATGACACATCTTTGGATAGCGACCTGGATCCAGAGGAGCTGGCAGGAGTTGGAGGATCACGGCATCTAAAGGATCAAAAGCGGTAAGGGGGGGAGGGGCGGTTTGTGCAGGAGGGAGTATTGACACTGTCAGTGTGGGTACCCAGGGGTCACCAGAGGGAGTCAGAGAACAAGTACCTCAAGCTTCTACCCATTTCCTTGGATTTGCAGTGTACGATTTGGTGAAGATGATGATAAAGAGGAGGAGGAGGAAGAGAATCCACTGCTGGTGCCACTGGAGGAAAAGACAGTACTGCAGGAAGAACAAGCCAGTCTGTGGTTCTCTAAGGTAAGAGAAGGTTGGGGGCCCAGACAGACACAGGGACTTAGTATGCCCTGGGAGAAGGGTAGCTGAATGTTTCTCCTCTGACAGGATGGCTTTAGTGGGATTGAGGATGATGCTGATGAGGCCCTGGAGATCAGTCAGGCCCAGCTTTTGTATGAGAGCCGTCGGAAGGGGCAACAGCAGCTGCCACCACCATCTTCCAGTTTGAAGAGTGAGAAGAAAACCTCCCAGTGCCAGGATGAGGACCCTAAGGGGGCAGAGGCTCCAGCAGAGGCCAAGACTGTCCCTAGGACTGGCAGGGAAGGAGATGACAGCTCAGACAGTGATGATAGCAGCAGCAGTGATGGAGAGCGGTGAGTGGCTGCAGCTGATGGGAGAAGGAATGAAGAAGCTGCCATTCTGACCATTTCTCCACTTTCACGGGTTTCCACTTTGTAGAGAGCGAGTGTAAAAAAATATGGATTATTTTGATGTAAGGGGTCTACAGTACAGCTTGGGGGGGCGCCTTTTGGGAAATTCAGGTTTTCAGTAAGAAGTGGGGTTGAGGTGAGGCAGGAGTGGGTCTAGGGAATAGCAGAACAGTGACATGGTCAACTGTCCCACCTGCAGTTGGGAACCAAAGCACGGGAAGAAGCGAAGCCATGGTCTTAAGTCCGATGATGATGGGTTTGAGATTGTGCCTATTGAAGACCCAGGTGAGCCCTGCACCTTTGTAAAAGGGGAGGCGATGGGAAGTTTCAGTGTTGGGAATGGAGCTTTGACTTGCCCTTTTTTCTCTAGTGAAACATCAGATACTAGACCCTGAAGGCCTTGCCCTAGGTGCTATCATTGCCTCTTCCAAAAAGGCTAAGAGAGATCTCATAGACGACTCCTTCAGCAGGTATGGGAGCTGGGAAATCATGACGAGTGGCCCTGGAGGAGAGTGGGTAAGGGAGTCCTTTAAGGGTTGTTTTCTTCTCTGGCTAGGTATACATTTAACGAGGAGGAGGGGGAGCTTCCTGAGTGGTTTGTGCAGGAGGAAAAGCAGCACAGGATTCGGCAACTGCCTATTGACAAGAAGGACGTGGAACACTACCGCCGACGGTGGAGGGAGATAAATGCACGTCCCATCAAGAAAGTAGCGGAGGCAAAGGCCAGAAAGAAACGGAGGGTAAAGAGTGGGGCTGCCTGATGTCTGGGTGCAGGGGTGGGAGTGGGGAAGAGGCCTGCTTGACTGAGGTCCCCTGGCAGATGCTGAAGAAGCTGGAGCAAACCAAGAAGAAGGCAGAGGCTGTGGTGAATACCGTGGACATCTCTGAACGTGAGAAGGTGGCTCAGCTTCGGAGGTAATGTAGAGGGGTCACCCACAGAGGTACGTGGACTTAAAGAGGGTGGCCAAAGCCTCTAATCTGTTCCTTCCATTTACAGTCTCTATAAGAAGGCTGGGCTCGGCAAGGAGAAACGCCAGGTCACCTATGTAGTAGCCAAAAAAGGCGTGGGTCGCAAAGTGCGCAGGCCAGCTGGGGTCAGAGGTCATTTCAAGGTGGTGGACTCAAGGATGAAGAAGGACCAAAGAGCACAGCAAAGGAAAGAACAGAAGAAAAAACACAGACGGAAGTGAGCAGAGCCACCAAGGGCCTCTGAGGACATGGAGGTGAGATTCTGGCCTCCCACTACCAGCTACAGACTTGCTGGCATCAGTCCGCTGGAAAGACAGGTGCAACGCTTAGAACGCTCCCAGAGGTCCTGAGTGGTAAGGGAAGATGTTCTCCCGCCTGAAGCAAGGCCTCGGACATCTGTTGGTGCTGTAACGGACCCCCCGAGCTCTTCCATTAGGATTGTGCAGTACTAAAACAGTCCAACCTTTTTGTAAGTCCTAAGGGGAAGGTCAGTGTTAGAGTGGCATTCACTCTATTACTGGGCAAGTGGGCCTCTTGGAGTCTTCCCTGCAGCCTCTTCTGTTATCTGAATAAAACCAGGGTAATGTCTTTTCTGACATTTTAGTTCCCACTGAGGGCTAATGAGACATTTGGGTGTTCTCACTATGTGCTGCACTGTATATTTACATTTAGTATGTACTCACTGTGAAGCAGAAATGACAAACAATTCACAGGTCCCAGTAGTAAAACATTTACTAGAGCAAGCAGAAAGGAATGCACATCTTAAAGAAACCTTCACAAAGTCACAAAATTCGAAGTATGTATATTTTCCTTTTATAAACAAGGTAGAACAAAAATCATCAAAATCATTTCAGCAAAAGATTTTCTACCATTGTGGCAAGTTAAAAAAAAATACAGTGAAATAGAAGACACTTTAAAAGCTGTCGAGTTTTTGTTTTTTAAATTTAGCAACACTTCAGACCTGGAACAGTCTTGTTTCCAGGATCATCTTCCTCTTCAGGGGAGAGGCTCTCTGGGTCTGCAGGCTGCTGCTTCCTGTCTCAGGACTGGATACAAACCTGGCTGGGAACCTGAGCATGGACTCCCACTTAAGACACTTCCCTTCCCTGCAAAGTCTAGAAGCACCAAAATGCTTCCCCAAATCGCTAACAAACACTTCAGTGGGTTGGGTTTGCAAAAAGCCAACTCCTAAAAAGCGGACTGCCTGGCCACACAGCTAAGAAAAGAAATTTTACTTGTAGATGTTTGTAAGGTGACAATTTAGTAAAAAATATACGCTACATATAATATAAACTAGAGTGAGTTTTGTGCCCTAGAAGGCCCCTTCTCCCAAGGTATCCTCAAACTGACCTTCATGACAACTCACCCAGAGCCCAAAAGAAGGTTCCCAGCTCTTAACTGCTTCCAAGGACCAAAGTGGCTTCCCAACAAGACATCTGAAAATTGATCCAGATGAAGGGGTAATGTCTCCAGCTCCAGCTATCCACTAAGGGCAGGGGGTCCTTACACCTTGGGCCCCAACCCAGCCCTGAGACACCTAGTTACCAAAAATCTTTCTAAAAATAAAATTAAAGACAATTGATTTCACACTTTAGCACATACCCTCTAACTGTCCCATCGACTTTTCTTGCGCTTGGGTGGCTCAGGGACAGCAAAACCATCAGCTGTCTTATCTGTCTTGCTGTCCATCTTGTCCATCTTGCTGTCCACCTTGGGGTCCACCTTGCTCTCACGATTACAACTCTCTTTCCTGCTTTCACCATTCCGACCATCGTTTGCACCTCGGCTCTCTCCATGTCGGCTTCCACCTCCTCCATGCCTATTCTCTCCATGACGGTGACCATCAGCATGACGGCTGCTACTTTCTGGGTAGCGGTATCCATCTCCATGGCGACCACCATCTCCGTGGCGTGGACTGTCGCCATGCCGATTGCCACTCTCTCCATGACCATGACGGCTGCCACCCCGGTTCTCAGTATATCGCTCTCTCTTCCCATTGCCTCCCCCAGGGCCTTCGCGGTTGTTATTCCCTGAAGCTGTATTGTTGACTCCCTGGGCTCCAGCAGAAGGGTAGGTCACTGGGCACTGCTGAGGCTCCCAGTATTGCCAAAGCCTGGGATGCCTTTGGCGGCACTGGCAATAGGGCTGTCTGGACTGCTATGGCCCTGTTGGGCTGAATTAGTTGGAACAGAATTCAAGCTCCCTGCACTCGTCCATCCACTTGCCCCAGCAGCAGAGCTTCCAGCCTTCTGGTTGCTTAAGCTGGCTGCAACAAAGTGACTCTTGTACTGTGACTAAAACAGAAACAACAAGAAATAAGATAGTAGGTTCCAGAAACCTGGATGTGTTAGGCTTGGCACTGAAAAGATAGAGACATTCTACGCTATCCTGGCACTAGGACTTTAGCATCTTTGATGGCCCCATCACCCTGTGGTTTCTATGTTTCTCTACTAATAATAAATCTAGGGACCTAACTGAAACATCAGTCTGAAGGCAGATAAAATATACAAATTAAGGCTCAAGCTGGTTAGCTAGCTAACTGGAGGGATAAGTACAGATGGGTTCAGAGTTCACAAGAGCTTTAGAATCAAACTTGTTTTAGTTAAGAAATGGCAATCTCAACCAGATTACAAGAGCCTTGGGTAGACAACACTGTTGGCTATTGAGGCAGGGAGGGAACATCAGTCCAGCAGTATAACAGTCCCAGGTTCTGGGAGGATGGAAGGCTGTAATCAGTAGATTTTCTACCTTCTACACCTACAGCTCTAGGTAAGTGACCACAAAGTTGATACTCAAAGCCAAAAGCTAGATTTAGAGGGTCCTAAATCTAGCCTCAAGCCTTCAATTCCAGCTACCATCTCTGAAATACTAGGCCCCTCATCACTGTCCCGAGAGTTGCTGGTGAAAACTTTCTAAAATTTCAGACCTGGAAAGCTGCTTTCATTGCCGTCAGCCGATCTCCCATGGCTCCTGTGGAAGGCTTATAGGCCTCATAATTACTCATCACATTGTTGTTATTTCCTCGGTCCTTAAAAAAAAAAAAAAAAAAAGCACACCTGTGAGGACAGAATGAGCACAATGCCAGAATAGGTCTCATATACTACAATGGGAACAGAACACTTTATTTTGTGGGAATAGGTACAGTAATAATTATTTAAAAATGCTTATGCCTTTCAACCCAGTAACTGTTTTTAGGAATTAACCCTAAAGTCAAATCAAAAAATCCCCAAAGCTGATCATACGATATTATTCAAACCCAAACATAGTGTTTATGTAATTCTGTGTAGTTTTATGCTCAGGATGAAGAGGCCATGAGGCAATATATAGCATATACATATAGCCTATACAGGGCTCAGGCTCTGAATCCACTCTTTTAAAAAAAGTTCAAGTCTCAGTTTCAACATTTATCAGAGTGCAACCTGGGGTGCCTCAGTTTAATGACTTGTACACTTGTGCTGACTGGGTGGTTGTGAAGATTAAGTTAACGGGCATGACTGCTTGCAGTGGCTGGCCCTGGCACACATTAAGTGCTCAACATTAGCTATAGTTATCATCTGTGTCATGTGCATCATTGTTACTGAGACATGGGAGTGATTCTTTATCAAAAACACCAAGCTAACGATATTGCTCCAGAAATACATAAACTGGCAGCTTTCTTCGGTTTAGGAATCAAAGTGACAGGAAATAGGCAGTTAAGGAAGCCAGTGAGGAGGTGCTTTTGTTACCTGTTTTGTGAGAAAAGCTTAGCTCTCATCTCCCTGATGCAATTTCCCATAGAGTGCAGAAAGCATTCCTGAGTTTAGTAAGAAAACAGAGTTCACAGAGTAACCCTATGGCAAGGTTTTCCTAGCAGCAGGCTCTTAGCCAGTGCTGGGGGGCTTAAGTTTCTGATTCAACCAGGTCTAGGGTGGAACACGAAATTGCATTTACCGATGGCCCAGGAACCTCAATATGTAAACTGCTGCTAATCTAGACTGATTTCCTGAGTATGTCTAGTCACCAAGTACACAGAGGTATTTCAAGAGGAAGTTAAAACATTCCCTTCTAGATAGGGTTCTGAATTCATGAAGGCTTTGTCAAGTAGAGGAGGACAATCATAGCATCCTCCAGGACTCGGGAGCAGCCTGAAGGGCACTACAACAGTCTGCACTCACCGTGTTCTCCGAGCCTAGGCCAGGGCGCTCCCTATAGCCTAGGCCACCTCCACCAATGTTCAGCTTTTTGCCTTTTCCTCCTTTAAAGCGGGATTTCCGAAACCAGGCATTCTGCACACAATTCAACATAATTCAAGGTTAGATCACAGGAGGAAGAGGCAGCCAGAGGAGGAGGACATTATCAGAAAGTGGAAGAAATAAAGTGCTTCATCTTTAGCCAGTATATTTATGGCAACCGTTCACAGGAACCACAGATGAGCTTCTTTTGGGAGTTTAGTCTACCAAATTTGTCAGGAGGCCTAGCTCCTTATCTGAGGTTTCCATTATTACTGTTTCTCAGGGCCTCCAGGAAGAGAAATGAGTAGGTAAGCCTCAGATACAGAGCACTTACTCTGGCCACTTCTAACTTTCTTGAGGAAAAGGAAATGATTTTCTGTTTCTCAATGTAGACATACCACTGGACATACACACATGGAGCTTATAAGAGGGCTTGGAAGTGAAAGAAAGGCTATGTGAACCAAGGTTCATCAGAACTGGCTCTAGGAGCGGACGTTTAGGACTGCTAGCCACATAATTGAAAGCTTTATTTACCTATGGCCTATAGTGTTCCTTGAATCTGACCACTGCCAGCATACTGTAAGATTTATTTAGTTCTTTTCAGAATACAAATATCAACAGGAAAGGTAGCCCTTTATCTGATAATCACGTTACAATCTTTTTATTTTATTTTATTTTTATTTTTTTCACATGTTACAATCTAAGCGAAGTACTTGAGAGGTAGGGCTGGCTTCAGAAAAGCATTGACCAGGGAAGCTGATCACAGTCTGAGGGCACAGAAAGCCTAAAGCACAAAAAGAGATGTAGGAAAAAATCCAAAGACAAGATAATTCTGTTAAAAAATGTAGTTTACAATTGGCTCACTGTATCCAGGAGAGGGAAGGATACCTCATTCTACTCCCTCCTGCAATTCAGGTCCTTTACTCTCGGAACCCAGAGCACAGGCAACAGTACCATACTGTAAGTGCAGTACAGGTTAACTGTTCTGTACACTGACTTATAAGTCTGAAAAACACCTAAGTCTCTACTATCAGAAGGTGTATATTGAACCCATTTGTAATCTGGAGATGACATCTATTACAATGACCCAGGATTTAATTCAGTAGAATGTCTAGCTTAGTTTTAGGTTAGTAATGAATGTGGTCAAAGATCTGGGACCTATGTCTATGAGAAATAGTCTATTAAATACATCGTTTTCTTAAGACATCACGTTTTTAGCCCCCAAATGAGAAGAATGGAGAAAGGACAGTAAGGGGAAAAGTAGCCATCTTTGAGATTGCTATGGAGCAAGCAGGCAGACATTTCAGAGGGACAGATTTTAGGAATAAGCTTTTCAAATAGATGTTGCTGAAAGAAGAGGGTAGAATGAAAGACCAGATGAATTT